TATTCAATAGCTAACATTAAAATTAGCTAATGGTTTCAAAAATAAGCCTAAAAGAGCTCTAAACGTGGATAAGGGTCAAATCGGCTAATGCATGCGACACCGTAGCGGGGTAATGCACGCTGCAGTGTGTCACACTTATCGACAAGGCACGGTTTCTGACGCCCACCTCCAACGTTCCGCTAACCGAAAGGTAACTGAATACTCAGCCGCCATGTTTGCGAACAAGCGAAACTGTTTTGAATGCTTAACTCTATCAGTTAACATTACACGTTAATCATAGCAACAGATGTAGGTACTGTTCATATGGCATGTAGAACGTTCAATATATTAGTAATTGACAAGGCATATGCTAAACATCAGGATTTAATTTATCTTAAAACTTTTTTAAATAACCGTATTAATCAAGATATAGCACATTATTGTATTATTTGTGATACAATTTAATTTCAAAACTAAAAAGATAATCAACTTGTAAATATTTACATGCCTTATTTATCGATTTAATTTATATGAATAATAATATAATAGATATAATGTAGCTGATCCGATATACATTTGTCCAATCAATTATAATAAAGAAAAATGTACAGTATTTATTTATTAATAAGAATAAAATTATAATTCATAAAGCAATATCTGTATTTTCAATCATCTCCTACCAGCAAAGATAGTAGAAATCACTGTCTATGCTTATTAACCAGAAGTAATGAAACCGGGCTTTGTTGAAGCCTCAAGAATGCGTCAACATGACGATCAGAACAGATGCTCCCTCCTCACATCAACGGATACCTCGCCTCCCACCCCTATGGCTTTAAGTAGCGAATTAGCACATCCCTCGCGCAAATAAAATTTAATTACAGCTATGCTAAGACCCCGAGAAGGTGTCAACTGAATTGAAATTTAATTATTATGCTAGGAAAACACATTGCATTCCACTGGGAACTATTAATATGATATTATTTATTAATATTGTTACGTAGCGAAGCGGCGCGACGTTTCATCTACTCGTTACTAAATGGCATTACGTGTCATTGAAATCGCGCTAGCACCGCCGGAACTACGTGTGTCATATAGGTATATATGAAAGTGAGATACGAACTTTCTGAAAATACCCCAAACAATTTTGATACTTTGAAATAAAAATAGCATAAATAAAATATACAAAAGCTTACAATTGTCCAATACTTGTTATTAATTTTTAAATAAATGATAAAACAGTTAGATGTTAATCTTTGATTTCATGAAATTATAAACTGAGTTACATATTTATTCGTCATATTAAATGAATGACTCTAAAAACAAATGTTTTCTCAACAGTTTAATTAGCAAACATGACAATAGAAGAGTTGTTAGCGTGTCAATATACAATTAACATTTTCCCGCCTCCACAAACAATTACATATTAACATTCGCAGACGTCACCGTCTCGCATCTATAAAACGGACGACGCACAAAAAATAAATTACAAATCGGAACATTCCTATAAAACCACGCTTTTAATAACGAACCGTTAATCATTCGCTAATTAATTATCTCACGACAAACGATCAACTATGTAAACTGTCTTTAGAATTGTGATAATATTTATTTTTTCTTATACTTCAACAAAGACACATTGAAAGTGTTAACAAGAACCACTGTGAATGTGATTGAGAGTTTATAAACTTCATTATCTTTATTAGCTAAATAACGTTGACCAGTATCAAAAGGTTGGTTGCTTTTCCCTGTTATAACTTAATGAAGTACCAACATGAACTGGTCGTTGTATACGGTGACTAAATAAGCGAGGCCCCCGTATGTTCTGTGATAAGTGAGAAACAAAGAGGCTTTACAGCGTAATTGTAAGGCCGTCAGATGTCAACCTATTCTTGTGTCTGTGTCTGTATTAAATAACAGATTGGCGATATCGTGCGGTTACCAAAGCGGCACTCTGTATGACCAGTATGACCACAGACGTGAGACGAGGTACGCGATGGAATGTCACTATTAGCTAATGTTAGTAGGTATTTGCTTACAAACACTAATCTTGCAGTTGCAGTTTTCAAAATATTTATAAATGTGATTTTGACTGCTGTGATGTAATCATTTAGCAACAAGGTTCATTTTCACAATGAACGGTGTTGGTGAAATTCTCACAGACAGCTAATAGAGCCTCAGTACGGGTCGATTAATCATTACTTTAGAAGTTTGAGGACAACTATCCAATAGTCTAGTCTACCTAAAATTAAACATAAAACCATCTCTGCTAACTTAATGACAGCTTGGATAATGGACAATCGTCATCACTCTAAGGAGTCAGTATTCTATAATTCTCAGCGTTATAAAAAAAATATTAAAGAGGAACATAGTTTTCTTCAATTCGGTTCAATCAAATTAGCCAACTGGGAATCAAAGTCACGAAAACTGAATGATCAGCATGTTACGAGTATTATTATTTTTTTTAAATAGCTCCCTGAAAAGTTTGGCTGCGGGTCACAAATCCGCGGGTTTTACCAGGTAGGCCAACCGCATCCTACCGCGGATAGGACAAAGTAGGACATAGGCTTTTTCTATTAATAGGCAAAAACAAGAAGAGTGCGTGTTAGTAGTCGTTGGACCTTGCAGGACCGATTGTAATCGGGAATCACGGAGGAGCTTTATAATAAATATTTGGTCACCCGTCCTATGAATGACCTTTGTGGAAAATTGCTCAACCTATGCATCGTAGATAGAACACGATGACCACTGCTCATCTTGCTTCATCAAAAAAACAAACATATTCAGCATGCGTGATATTCAGAAATTTTGCCGTATATAATGGCTTTAATAAATTATTAAAAGCCACACCACACTTTATATTTGAACATCCTGAAATAAAATATGATTTAACAAGCTGTATAATTTTATAAGACCTCGTAAAAAGTGATATATGAATCACTTATATCGAATAAAATACGAATAGAGTCGTTTATGGCTATTCACATCTAAGCTGCAATAAATCTTTATAACTAATGAATGTTACTTTTTTATATTAGGAACTATTAAAACAACCAATTCCTAGAGGCACTCCCACACGATAAAACGTAAAGCCTTTATACACTGTTTGTCTTATACAAAAGCATTTATGAAATTTCACTTGCTCGGGTCATCGTCATCATAGCGCTCATTAATGTCCCCTCTGGAGGGGTACAGGCGTTCCCTAAAGATGGAACCAAAGAGGTGGACGTGACCCCCGTGCGGGTGTCGATCACAAATGCAGCCGGGAATAAAGGCTTGACGTACTTTCCGAAGCACTTGATAAAATAAAATTTTTTGGTCACTATGCTATGACCGGCTTTTGCGAAGGTTGGCTTACCTCCAAATTGCAGATCGATCGCGCTAACCACTGCGCCGTTGAGTTCCTTTGTTGTTTCAGAAACTAAGATGAAATTCGAATTCGTTACCATTCGTTAACCAGGCTGCCTGATCTACTGAGCTAACAGCTATTTTTTCAATCACCTGTTACGCTACTAGTGAGTGTATTTCGTTTAATGTTTTCGGAAATACAATACAAAGATCTACTTTACAAATAGATGAAAATGTGTTTGTGATGAAAATTATTCGAGTCTAGAGTTTTGTAATTGATTTTTCCGTTTGATAGTTTGTCTATAGGACAAGCCAGCGTAATGTACACTATCAAATATAATAACACCAAGAACTATTGGCAACGTGTAAATTACAATTATCGCCAAACGACATAAGGTTGCCACTGGTAAATATTAAAATGAAAAAACATACATCTACTAACGTTTTTAACAAAAAAATTCACAAAATTTGCAACAAGATCCAATAACAGGATTTCATTCGTACGCTTGTTTTTACAATTACGCTCTCCTCCAACTAAACAGAAATTTGTAAATCTACCAAATTAGTTTGAAAAACAAAATTACGTTATTACCCACCATATCAGTTCCTTGAAAATCTTAAGACTAATCATGAAATGACATCACACTATGTGTACCAATAAAAAGCTACTTCGTATTCGCGACGCCATCACAAGACACTACATAAATCTCCTTAACAACATAACATTAAGGTTCATTCATAAATAATGGTAATTTATTTGTGACTCAAGCTTTTCCTAGTAGGTAAACCTTCATCTATTTACAATACATTAAAACTTTGCACGCATCTTCTTAATTTTAATTATTAAAACACCGTAAATATATTAATCTTATCCAAAACTCACTTCTAGTTAGCAAGCAACAATCAATTTAAATCGACCCATTAATACTACGCAGTATTTAGACAAATTTAATATTAAAATCGATATTGTTAACAGAAAGATACAACATCCAGATAAAATATTTAAAATAAATACACGATGACAGAATTCCAGTAATCTCTGAAGGAGAACCGCCCACGGACACAAATAGTTCCATATTGAAAGATCTCACAGATATCATTAAGAAGTTTGGTTACTTAATCGCATTTCGATGAAGAGTATAATTTCAAACTTATATCGATACGATTTTTTCAACAACAATAATATGTAATATTAAGAAAGATAAAAGATATTTGGGAACTGGTTCATTTTATAGTTCTAGTTTAAAGTCTTGGATGTCTAAATATCGACTCTTCTCTTTGTTCTAATGGTTTTTTGTGAGATGTTAATGTTACGGTTATTAAAAACATATCCTTTTATAAAACCTTATGTAAATATTGATTTACCAATTATGTGAGCTAATGGTTGTCCGTGTTATATGGAAGCTAGAGCATCAAAGAAAAACTCGTGTCTACGCCTCGCAAGTTGCCTACATTTACTATCAGATCACGTACTGTACAAGGTTTCACTAAAAGGATGCAGGAAAATACTTCTTCGTTTATATTGTACCACACAATACTATAGTTGTCTTGTTATTTAATCCATAAACTTGAAAAGATAACGAGCAACGGTAGTTGTAACGTTTTATTTATTTTTAAGTAATCTTTTGCCTTGATCCTTCGGATCGTTTCGGTTCATAAACAATTCCAATTTACAGACAAATGTTCCCACAAATGAAGTTTCGTGTGTCCGGTTTGGACGCGAAGGCGAAATACATCCTACTGCTCGACATCGTCGCAGCAGATGACTACCGATATAAGTTCCACAACAGGTAGACCACATCGCCATATAGCCTGGAACGCACTATCCACCTCATCTGTCCCAAATCTAGGGTTCACGTCATCACAGTCGATTGTAAACTTTATTTCTAACACCGTACCGTTACACATTTCTTTTGGCTTGTGATTCTACCCACGCATGCTCTACTTCCCATCACAGACCAAAAATTTCAATTCGTCTCTTAATTACGCTTAAACAATTTGTAAGAAACAAGCTTAATTTAAGGTCAATGACATTTCACGACGAGGGAACACGGTTGGAATCGTCCGCGATTAAGGATTCAGCTCGCGTCCAATGGGTAATATCATTAAAATATCTTTGTCTCAAACGCCGCGGCGGTAACGTAAAAAGTCCCGAGGTGAGAAACGTTGCGCGAGAAGTGTACCTCCATCGGTAACGAGAACTCGCTTGTCTAAATGCCTACGACATCAACCGTCGGGGGCGCATCGATAATCATCGTATTTGATCACGTTACATTGTTTAATTCCCGATGACAAGAATCGATAAGATTCGTCTGTCCGCTTTATGTCCGCCCGATCGACGACTATCAAAACCGCCGACACGCAGGTTTGGCAACATCGAGATGCGGACGATAAACTTGGATTTAATATCCGTTAATTAATACGACCCGAGCATTCCGGTCGAAAATGCGACTGTGAGTCAGCACTAAAGAGATACAGCGGGCCGACAAAGAGACTCCTGCCTAGCGCCATTAATATGATAATTAATTATTACAAATCTCTTCAGTAATTTACTTGTTAATTAAACGTTTCATAGTTGGACATCGTATGAAACTCACGTTATAATCCGTTTAAATTTGTGACATACATTCTGTATGGTCTCTACACTGAAGGTCTTGCCATTTTCGGTCTTCTCTCAGGGCAAATTGAGCTTTTTGCTGGTCGAATTCCTCGCGACACCTTGTGGTGTTGTCGTTCACAGATGAGCCCACATAAAGAATACTTCGAATTCACGGACAACCGAACTTTGCCAGTAGTAAACTTAGAACAATATCTGTGTCCTGAGTGAAACAAAAAGTAACTAATTAACGCGGTACAAGATCACAAGCTAAAAGGAACGCTTCTTGGGACTAAATGAATGTAAAAAGTGAAACTAGTTCAACAACATGTCTTACAATCGACGTGATGTCAAATCGTTGTCGCAAAGAACGAGTCCCAACCCATGTTTTTCTCTCGTGTTGCTTGCAGACGTATGTTTCCTGCCTACAAAGTTCGCGTTTCTGGTCTTGATAAAAAAGCAAAGTACATTTTGCTAATGGACATCGTAGCTGCCGACGATTGCAGATACAAATTCCACAACAGGTATAAATAAAGAAATGGAGGAATTAAATTAAAATAAGAAATTATAGAAATGTCCGTGTAGAGAGGAACTGTTGACTCATTTCATCTTATTTTAATGTAATTCGTAATATTGAGAAACTCAAGAGGCAAGAAGCATGCGTATTGTTTACATGTTAATGCTGAGTCGATAGGGGATCTGCGTGGCTTCCGAAATCCATTATTCCTGTTTCGGAGCATCGTTGTAGGCAATACTTCACTTTGCCGTATCTTAATGAGTTCAGCTTCCTCCGAATAACTTGGTCGTTGGGAAATCGTATCATTGTAATTTTCAACCTTATCTTAATCGTCTTTGATATACGAATCGAAGAGTTTTGTTATTGACAATTTCGACATAGCATTTTTATTCATCGAACGCAGATCTCGTTTCGTTCACGCTTTGTGCACCTTACAGGCAGTATTTAGTAAAAGCTTCTGCTGAAACCAATTTACTGACAGCATGTAGGTACATACATCTCATGTACCATCATAACGATGCATGAATCCCATAGAATAATATAAGTCAACTAAATTATAGTTACGCTAGTATTAATTGGTTCATTCTAATGAGTATTGTTTGATATCATCATAATTCATGCAAACACCTGTCTGCCCTCAGGGCCGTACAATGATGTAAAAACCTTCAGTTAATTACGTAGATATTAGCTGATTTTTTTGCTTTACACACTACAGTACGGAAACTGATGCTTCTTTGTATTACCTACTTATTTGCTTTGTAGGATTCCTATATTATTAGACTATTGGATCGAATTATTGTGATAAGTATTCTTCTAACGTATGATTATATTGTCTTAATTAATTGGTACTACACTATCTGTGGATTACGAAAATATAATCTTTATATTTATTTCTCTTATCTAAGATTATACAATTTGATTCCAGAGAAAAAAATATAGACCTACTCTGTTTCTCCAAAAAACGAAGTTTCATTAAACATGCTTTGGCTCTAAAATATCTGTACTTACCCCGCAAGATATCCGGCTTCATAATATAAATTGGGTATATATTCGAACTGCCATAACGCTTTCATAAAATCATTTTTTAGGAATTCATGACGTAATAGAAGCTGTGTAAGTTTTTTTTAATGCGCAGGAAATCTGAATGAAAGTTATAAGAACGTTTTAAAATTATCCCACATTTCGTTTATGGAGGAACAGAGTAAAATTCCAGCATACGTAGCATAATGAAATCGAAAGAGTCGAGAAGTAGAGAGCAAGATAAAGTCATACAATATCTCATACTCAGTTTCACGTTCTGGAGTATCTCTAGATCCTCGTGCAACGTAGGCATGAACCGATTGAGAATTTTCGTAGTCCACAGTTCTGCCTTATTAATTTTCCTTTTTCCTCCGGAGCCGGTGGATGGTTGCCGGCAAAGCTGACCCCGAGATGCCCAAGAGGATGTACATACATCCCGACTCACCCAGCACGGGCGAGCAATGGATGCAGAAGGTGGTCTCGTTTCACAAGCTGAAGTTAACAAACAACATCAGCGACAAACACGGATTCGTGAGTACCGACTTTTTTATCAAGAATTTGAAATGGGTGGTCTGCGATTTTAACTTTTACACTGTTCTTTTTCTATAGAAGTCGATTGTCCTTTATTTCGTGATAATACGAGACCTACCTGGTCAAAAAGTTTTACTGAGTTAAGGCATAGAGATCGTGAAGTCAAAATTTCACTTACGAATGATGTCATATGCGTTGCAACTGAACCCACACAATCCAATGTATTATTAGTTACATATATCCGCAATTGAAGTACAAGTGGTGAACCATTTAAAGTTCTAAAACTAGCCTCAGGCGGGCGTGCAACCATATAGTATTTTTCCGATTAAAACTCTATTAAACTATTACTAAGAATATTGATCAGAGATTTAGCAGAAATGTTTTAGCTGACATAAAAAAAAAATCGCAGCTTTATTCCTCATAATGAAAACTTTACTAGGTGGGTAAAGGTTTCATTATAAGAAATAGAGCTAAATAATTTTCTAAAAAATTTCTGCTAAATCTCCGATCGATAATCTTAGTAATATTCAAATATTCGCAGCTTTAATCCTTATAATGAAAACTTACCCACCTATTTCAAAATCTACAGCTTTCGATGTTTAAATTGTATATCACTTTAATAATTTATTAATAACGTGTCTACAAAACCGAACAATGAGCTTCGATGTCAAAACTTGAAAAACCCCGAAAAGGTAGCAATCGGTCGTGAGGGTCTATTATGTATTTTTTTTAATCTGAGCAAAAAGTTTATAATGTGGGTGATATTATAATTAACACAGAGTAAAAAGAGAATCGTGGGTCGGACCCCTGTCGTCGGCCTACGGGGGGGCATTGTGTGGGCCATGGTTATTATAGCTATTTACTTTGGGCACCCATCATCTTATGGCTTTTAGTTGCTTTCAGTGAGCATTCGTCGCGCCGCACGAACTGTTTAAGGGTCCATGATTAATATCGAACGAATTATACACTTAATAAAAACTTTGTCACGCTGATTTTTGGTATCATATTTCCACATTGAATTCTTTGTGTTTTGATACATACAAATCAGAGAATTTATATATATTTTTAACTAAATAAAATGTATGATAATGAAACCACATTTTAGCTAGATAACGAAACCTCTGTCGTACGAATGACAGATTTACCTAAGTATGAGAATCAAAAGGTTTCGTTAAATAAGCAAAAAAAAAATATTAAACATTATATTTTAAAAAAAGTAGAAATTTCTGTCTATAAACTAAAAACTTTTCTTCCTCTATTATTAAAATTATCGTGGAGCTCCTTGTTAAAACTTTGACTAAATATTACTTTAAATAACTTTTAACTCTTCTTTGTTTCCTTTGTGAGTAAGTAAATATCTATTTAAAATTAAATTTAAATATCCAAATAATACAATGGATAGCCACCAGTATTTTAATAATAACGAACCACTAACGGAAACGTGGACTGTAATTTAGCTAATCTTATTTATACGTTCGTGCTATCTAACGATTACCTACCGCTTTTGGACCACCCACCACTGCGATCTCGAATGATATGGACGTTTCAACACTTTGCCAAATGTAGACACAGTGCGTAAGCCTGCGGTACAAATGCGAGCGTGTTTAGCTGCAGCCTATAACGTCGAAACTCTTTATACTTACCTTTACGGTTAATGCAATTTATGTCAAAGTAAAGCTCGTGTCTAAAATCTTCTTTTTCTTAGTAGCAACTGCGAAAGTCGATGGTTAGCGCCTTTTTTGAATAAGGAACGCTCCCATCACCTTCCAATTTCGTTGAGCCGTAGTATATTTTACCCGGGTACGTTAGTTCACCACTGCGTTACATTCCAGCAGGACGAAAGCCACTATTTTCTGTGCATCTGTGTATACCATCAACGTGAGCATTATCGAGTAGTACTACCCAATACGATTAATATCTGTGATGTAATCGGTTACTTAAAATATATATTAAAAGCAGCGTTTCAAAGCTGTCTCGATCAAACCAAGAAAATTCAGTCAATGTATTAATATAAATATACCGCTACCGCTGCCCGCTGAGTTCAAGAGCACAACTTTATTAGTTTACATAACAACACTCCCCTTAAGGTGAAGCGAGTTGATGTCAATCATGCTAGACTTCAACCATTTGTTAAAACACCTCATGGAAATAATGTATATAATTTCAACATATATAATATACCGATAATAAGCAGTGATTGGTCATTTTTGGGTGTTCAATGATGGAACGACGAATTGATCTCACATTTTCTTTCCTAAATGAATCTTCTAATTGTAACACTATCTCAAACTATCAGCAATCTAAATAAATGGAGCCTTCGGGTTATCAACTAAAAATTATCTTATAGGTTATATATAAAGCGGACCACCTCGAAAAAATTCAGATAATTTACTCCAAAACTAGCATACTGATTTGCAATCTCATTAAAACTGCAAAAGGCAATTTCCAAAAAAAAACCGTCTTCGATTTCGAAAAAAAGCTACTGAAAATGAAAGCCGGCGCTTTGAGGTAACGAAACACTTGAAGGAGCGTTTACACAACCGCGATCCAATCATAGATAAGGACTTTTTTCGGTCGATGAGCGTTTGTTTCTTTTTTTCGCCTCTTTTTCGTGTTAGGGTCTTTTGTCTTTGACGGAGGGCGTGGGTAATTGAAATAACGACGGTCGCCGCTCGGTATGCATAGAATTTTGACAACAGCTGACTCCTGATACGGCGTGATGTATATTTTTGAAATCGGAACGTGACAGCGTCTGGTTTCTTAATTTTTTACATTTCTCTTTTTTAATAAATCATCGCGTTCTTTTTATTCGTTGTGTCGTCAAACGAGGTTATCTACATATTTTAAGTTTCGAATATGAAACATACGCTTCGTGATATTAACTGTAGTGTTCCACAGAAGTCTCTGCAAATATAACATCATAAATAATAAAAAATAATCATAATCTACACGATATCAGCATGTATATTCGACATACTAAGAGACAGGTAGATAGATCAAACGATAAGTGACGTTTATTTGTTTTTTTTTTTTTTACCTGAGCCATTCGTTCGACATGCCGATTTCTGGACAGCCTTCCATTTTTCATAGTGATATTTATGGTTTGTTCGCGGCGATTAATTTCATGTATAATATTGACACAATAATAAAATGTGTTTCGAAGTTTCATATTATTTATTGAAATTTAATTTATTCAACTTCGAAACAATCGAATTGACTTTCGATTTTTTTTATCATTATTGTCATCCTTTTGAGTGCAATTCGTTAACAATATCTAGTATATTCTTGAGTTATCAGTGAAAGAAATTACGTTTTCAATATACCAAATGTGTATAAAAAATCAAACGTAGCTACGAACACAACCTGTTCAATTCGATTCACAATCGATAAATTTTTGAGCTCTAAATATTGCAAATTTCAAAAAATGGCGCTACAAACTAGACGGTACTTCTTACAAACGAACAGTATACAATACAATAATAACAAGATGCTAACCAGCGTTTACGAATCAAAACATCTCAAGCACGAAACCGGGGGCATCTCGAGGCTAATATATCAATAGAGAAAAGGCACCCATCTTAATTGTATAGGGTTAATCCACAAGATGCTTTCGAGCGTCAAATTCATTTTAAGATCAGCCGTGTCTATTGTACGGTGTTTCGCCATTCATGAACACAGCTGCGGCCATAAAAGGAACACCAGCTTTGGGTTCTATAGCCAATTAAATGCAGATCTGTCTGTTTTACTTAAATTTTTAATACTAAATTCTCTTGCTACGTCTAGACTTGATCAAATTATGAATTACCAAATTTTTATGAGGTTTTCTTATTTTCAGAGTAGTTTTTGATGGGTCACTTTAGTTCCGTGTAAATGTCAAGGAATTACATACACTCTGAGAGTTTGCCCTTCAATATTAAAAATGGTGTTTATAATCTTGGCGGTTATGGTGATATGTAAATTTTTTTTGCAAAAATAGTTCGACTCAATAAATTATAAAACAAGGACTAAATTTAGTACTTTGTATAAACCATTGGCTGCCTAAAGACAGAAGAGAATAAATAAAATAAATTGACAATTATAGAAGAGAAAACATCACATTTTGTAACGGTGTGCCATGCCACCGTTTGTTTTCCTAGGTTTCAGTATGCAAACTTTTTGCTTTTGAAATTCAACATCATTTCATTTTACTATTCGTCTTTCGTAATTTAAAATTTTGACTAATCAATTTTACTCTTTATGGATGTCAGTTCGTAAGAAATTCTCCTATACACAAGATGAAATTATAATATAATACAATATTATTGGTATAAATTTTACTATGTAATTTTAATAATTCATATATTATGGTGATACAATAATATAACATATTTACTAAATTAAAACTGTATTTTGTACGATCCAAAAGTGTAACAAGAAGCCCGACAAGGGGTATGTATTCGTTTATTTGATAAGAATGTATTAGTTTAAGTAACTTACGAACTGTTTTTTTAAATTTATTTTTGTTTGTTACAGTTTTTTATTATTACCCTTATTTCATTAATAAATTATACTCAAGCTGATCAGCCTATTTAATTGACGAAGCACCGAACCCGTAACAATTTAAACCTGGTACTAAAGTAAGTTATTTTATAATATGGTCTATCTTTTGAATGGTAATGGACTTTTGAAATTGTCAGAGTACGTGTCAGTAAAACCTCCATCGCGACAAAAATTTATGATGAAATCCATGATGGGATTCGATTAAGTAGTACACAACGTTACGCTTACCCCAATTTTGATTTGGTAGATTTTTATATGCCAAAATAATTATAAAATATCTTTGATTTTAGTATTTAAAGTAACTTTTTGCTACAAAAATCTCAAGTAAAACTTCAGTTAAAATTTTTGACATCTATCCGCAACAAATAAGGTACGAAGACCAACGGTGCGCTCTTATGAACACAGAAGGACACATGCTCAGTAATTTATATACAGCTATTGATCAAAAGGTATCCTTTGCA